TGTGTGTGTGTGTGTGTATAATTATTATATTTTATATATATCCCATTAATAAATGCTGGTTGACTTGACTTGAACTGATTTACACTAACTATGGGGCTATTATGAAAAAATAGATAATTTGTCTTACAGATAATAAAGTGTGATATAAACTTATTGTTAATATACTAACTCAAAAGAAAGCTTAATTTATCATCATACCTCATTAAAATATCATGTATTCAATGTTAATTAAGCATCTGTCCTGAGAAGAGCACTGACCTCTGTGCTGGGGGGTGGAGATTCAGAGTTTAGGATTTACTCCTTTCAGAGGATTTGGGTTCCAATCCCAGCCCTTCTACTAATTACCTGGGTGCCACTTTCTGGGCCTGAGTTCCTCATTTGTAAAATGGGGTTTGACCTGCATGGCCTCTAAAGTCCGTCCACGCTCATAATCTATGATCCTGCCCTCATGGGTTGGAGGCCCGACAGTATCAGACCTGGAATGCCAGCCAGAAGATTATGGATAGCCTCCATGAGTTCGTGAGGAACGTGGGGAGAGGACTCTTTCTGTCTCCCTCCCACCACACCCAGGCAGACGGACATGCTGATAGCCATCACCATTGACAGGGCGTCTTCCTTCCTATGGGAAGCCCAGAGGTGGTTTTGAACAAAGCCTGTCCAGCCTGGGTGATGAGCAGACGTGAGCTCCTCCAGGGATCCCTGCCCTTAGGTAGGGGACCAGCCTGTCCAGACTGGTTATCTCGGCAGGCAGCTGACAGCTCCTTCCTGTTCCTGGGGCTATGCCCTGGGCCAGCCCCTTATCTTCCTGATAGATGGTCATCCTAATAAATGAGTCTGAGTTCAGGGAGGTCCCTGCCACTGGCCTGCAGAGCCTTTGCTGTCTGGCAGCAAGGGATAAATGGGCAAACATTCTAGATTATTGGCACCTAAGCCAGGCCATTGAAGGGATGGCCTACTGACCTTCATGGACCTCATTGAAGAGAACAGGTGTAGAATCTCTGAAGATATCCACTGAGATCTGAGGCCTGAGAACTCAATCCAACAAGCATTCATTAAACACCTCTTAGGTATCAGACAAGAAAACAAAAAATAAAAATAGTCGTTGCCCTCAGGGAGCTTACATTCAAATAAATACTGCACAAATCCAA